TCTATTTTTCAACTGCAAACAGATACTAGTATAATTTCGCGACAGAAACGAGTGCATACATTAAAAATGAAACCCGATAAAACGTTCAAACTCGATTGCTCTCCTCGTTGCTCTATTTTCATTCACTTACAGTCTCCGTTTAATTATGCATCGACAGATTCCATCGTAACGCTAATCGTGTTCAAACTCATCACGTAACACTCGAAAGGACGGTGAAATATTAATCACGGTTCATTAAACCGAAGACTAAGTTAACCGTGTCTCATAATTCCTCGTTGTATTTAAATAACAGTCTTTCGAAACTTGCTCTCAATGTTGCACCGTTTTACAACCTCGAACGAGGAACAGTAGTAGACGAATTACTTCGAAAAATTAAATTTATTCAATTATTGTTTCACCCTCAATTATGCATCATCCAATTTCACGAAGTGACGCGTGTGTTCCACGCGATCCTCGGTATACAAAACTTTCCAAAAACTCGTAAAAGCACGGGCTAACTTTCTCCCACTTTTGTCCCATAATTAAGAATTTTAATTTGAAATACATACTCTGTCATTTGGCCGCTCGCTGCGACCCCTAATCCAATAAGGAGCACCAAAGCACGGATTATCCACGAATCAACGAACCTACGAAATCTTGTCCAACGTAATTGGAAAGTATCCAGTGGCGATGACACCCCTAAACACAGATCTTCCTACGTTTGAAAAGATCCCCAGAAATGAGCGCGCCGTTGGGTTTCTGGGGGACACTGATTTTATTTGTACGGTGAAGAAGGAAATCTTTAGCCCTTTACTCTCAATCCGTAAGACGCTGGGGGCCTAATTACTTTTATCGAGACAAATTTCAAAGTCTGGCAAAATGATTCTTCAAAAAAAATATATGTCAATATCTTAGGGGATGAATTTGTATAGTATGAATAATATGTAATCTCTTATTTGAAATAATTACATAATTAGAAGTCTTTTCTAAAATCGTAATTTTTAAGTTATATGATTGTCGCGGCAAATGAGCAATATCTTGTATATATTTTAGTTTTCTAATTATGGATCATTAAAATTCTTAACAAAGAACATTATGAATGAATGAAGTATGAATATCAAGTCCGGATATGAATCCATCTTATAATCTTCTACTCCAAAATCTCATGATTTTGAAATATTTACTCGAAGAACACGTAAAATAAAATTTTTATAATCAAACAAGATTTCTTAAATTATTTCTCAAATATTATAATGCATACCATACTTAAAATCTTTTTCCACGTCATTTTATACATTCAAATTTTGCATAAATATCATGCGTAATTTAATAATTTGTATGTTGAGATAAATACTTCAAAGATTTTCTTCAATCCACAACTCGAAAACTAAGCTATATACAACGTAGCTATATATAACATTTTTTTACTTGTGCATAAATTCGACTATCGATACATTTCCAAAACCACCCTCGTATCACAAAACGATTCGTTTTCCTTGAAAAGCTAAGTGCTTATTTCGCCCGAGATTTCGATTTATTCGGTTGTCAACGTGTCGGGTAAATAACCGAGGGTATAGATTTATCAACATCCGAATACGTTTGCACTTAAGTTACTTAACGTTTCCAGTCAACCCCTGTTCAAACGGATCGCAAAATAAATGCAGCCACTTTATCTTAGCATAGGAGTCGGTTACAAACGATCCTCGGGATCGGTATTACAAGTATATACATTTGAACGTGCGATTAAATTATTCCAACTCGGTAGACCTTCTCCCTTTCCCTCCCCTTCCCTCCCACCGATCCGACTGGAAAAGCTTATTTATTCGGTAAATCCGGGAACGAAGGCCGAGAATAAACGTCGCTGACAAAAACAGCGCGCGTACGCCTCGTGAAATTGAGTTACCACCACCTCGTTATTCTCGTGAGACTCGAAATAAAATGGTGGGGACATCCGCAAGGATTGAGTTACCGTCCACTTAATTGACCGCCCGCAGAAACGAGAAGAGGACACTGATTGACAGCGAGATGCAGCTGTCATCGAGACCGACCTCGAAGGAGGGTGGCCGAGTACGGTTTAATTGCTCTTTACCAGTGGAATCCCGAAGCTTGACCGACCGGATGGGGAAGAAATTTGGAGGAGAGTGCAGCTGTCATGTCGCGTAATAGTAATACATTTTGATATATCGAACGAAAGAGAGAGAGAGACATATAGAGCGATGATGGTTTTTCAAATACATTTCGGAAGAAATCGATTCACATTTTTTTTTTTGAAAGTATTGGTGTAATATCTTCGTTCTATTTTTCTACATTTCTTGTATTTAATATTAGATATAATAATATGTAGATTCGATTTTTTCTCATTTTTTTTTTTTTTCGATCGTCGTGATACAAGGCATAATTTAATATCGTGACATATACCGATATGTTAATTCCATGGACAATGGATCAAGATCCAACCGATCTTAAAAATCTAATTTCGAAAAATCAAAGATGCAACGTGATACCGTGGTCCTCCGATACCGAAAACCAATGCAATAACTCGGCCGGTTCACGAGCGAAATACAGCTGGTATAACGTCACCGTCCCTCCACCGTGTCGAATTTCTCGAATTACATAAACACAAATAATCCTGTGAGTCATTCTAATTCTGGTTCCATCGGGATTGCACCGTTTCCATTCCTCCATCATCCCTCTTACCGTCTCTCGGTCGCATCCGTTCCTTCTTTTGCCCCTTTTTCGCGCATGTCCTAAACGTCGCCTCTTTCTTGCCCGACCGTCTGCCGTATAAATAACCGTGGCACGTGTGTCGTCTCGGACGCACACGATGGCCCACTTTCCTCCCCTACTCGAAATTAGAGAACTTCGACCGCGATGTTTATTCATTTTTCGCGTGACTATTAATAATGGATCCTGCGATGCTTCTTCAAGCAATATCGATCGAATCGCGAGTAAAATGATACTTGTTCGATCTTTTAAATTTTTATTCATCTACATTTCAGAAGAGGAATTGATAATCGATGCATTTGAATTTATTTTGAAAATAAGTTTATGTTTATAGAGGTAGAAGAAAAGTAAGCATAAAAATGACGATATTTAGGTACAAGATATTAGGTACAAAAAGCGCAGAAAATTATAAGACCCAGGTGTAACATACATTTCCCCCTAATTGTAACGTGGCAAAGGATATAGAGTTTAAGTGGCTCGGGTGTGCAACAAGGGAGCCAATTTCAAGAGGGCAGTAACGAGTTTTATAACACGGAACCATACAACCGCAAATAAATAATACAAATAGTTGAAAAAAAATCGTAGTAATCACGTGGAACAAATATAAATAAGATAGTTTTTTTAAAAGAATGAGCCAAAAAATGATATCTCCATTCTTTAATATATTGATTCGTTTTCATCTAAAATATTCTGCGTATTTTTTATTCATTTTTATAGTATTTTATTAATTAATTTATTAATTTATTAATTATCTCATTTTTCCTTTTAATAAGCAATCTACCTATCTTTTGCCTATCTATCTATCTATTTGAGGATAACACGAAATGGAAATAAAATAATATCTTTTGAGTACTTTGTTTATCGAACAAGTATTTTGAAAGATAGAACGAAAAAATAATAACGATTCAAAACCTAAATCATTCCGCATATTTTTATTATTTTTAAAGCGACTTTATTCTCATTAAAACGAAAATAAATAAAACATCTTCGAATAGCTTGCCATCGAACAAAAATTTCATCGTGAAATAAAACTATTCGATATCTCGACACGCCACGTCACGCGTGAAAAATACTCCATGGAGTCCAGTATAGTTCTCCACGTTGAATACAACCGCGTTTCCAGAGCGACACGAGGTTCCCTCATATCGTCACGTAATAATCGTGTCAGACAGATCCGATCTGACGGATCGCATCCGCGAAACCGGCCGATTTCGCTGGTACCGTGAACGAGCTGTCGCCCATCACCGACTTCCATCGTCCCAGATCTCTCGTCCATGGTTCATTTTTACGGGACAACGACGCCCAACGGCATTTCGTCGACGTGTTTCTACACGATCGCACAGGTAATGTGAGAATTGTTACACTTCTGCCCGCGGTTTCTAACCAAAACAAAGTTTTTGGAGTTGGAAAAATTTTTGTAACGATGAAAGGTGAAAAAAATATAATGATGTTTGATTAATTACTGAATCATCGTGTTTGAAGATAAGATAGAGAATATAAAATAATAAGGAGAAGTAAAATTTTTTATAGACGAACTATAGTTTGCAGTAGATTATTCTATCCAATGA